CGCGGTCACAGGCTGCAGATGGAGGCGCCACACGGGGCCGCTGCCCCTGACGTCTGGGCCCCTCCTACTGGATGCTCCTGACTCCCGGTCCTTGCGGTGACCCTCCTGCCTCTCCCCCTCCCCCTGGACCACCGTGTCCCGCCTGGTGGCTTCACGTTCCCCAGATCTGTGCTTCTGACACCCCCGACCCCCACCGCCTGCCCCTCAGACTCCCCACACTTGTGGGATCAAACCCAGGGCTTCCTCTTCCCTCACCCTGCCCCCCTCACTGTCTCAACTCCATCCTCCCCCCAGAATCTGGGGTGACCTGGGCTCCCTCTGCCCTTGAGGCCCCTGCCCCCACCCGCGGCCACACCCGCCCTGCCCCTGGCCCCCAGACACGTGGTGGGTGGGGTGGGAGAGACCCCGGTGTCCCTGGACTCCCAGCTCAGCGTCTCACTTACGGAGAACGTGTCTTGCCCGAGAAGTCCATCTGGCTCTTTCTGGCCTCCTCTCGGCCATCGCTGTGCTTGCTGACTTGCTCTTCGATGTGGATGAGCCGGGCAGGCCTGGAGGCGTTTCGTGGTCCATCTGACGACCTCCTCAGGGTCGCCCTTGAGGGTCTCCTTTTCTGTCAACAAAACACACATTTGCTCTGTTTTCCACTCAGCCGGCCCAGGGGGCCTCTGGCCAAGGGGGACGCCATGCCCTGTGCAGGGCGTGGTCAGGTCCCGCTAAGGCTGGGGCAGCTTGGGGGAGAACCGTCCACAGAGACCCCAGCTCCGCCCCACACACCGTCACAGCGGGAGTGAGGCCGTGTTGCAGGGACAGGTACCTGCCGCCCGTCTCACCACTGCCCAGGCTGAGCGCTCGTGGGTCCAGAAGCAGGAGGTACGGGCCAGCAGGTGACCTGCCGTCTGCCAGGTGACCTAGGCTAGGAGAGAACCAGAGAACGTAGGTAGGGCGCTCAGGAGAAGGGGAGTCCTTCCGCCCGAGGCAGAAGTCGTTAGGGAAGGCTTCCTGGTAGAGGAGGCACTTAATGGGATCCTGGAAGGCAGAGGACTAGACCGGCAGGGGTGAGCATCCTCCTGACGGCAGGGATGTCCCCGGTGAGGTGGGCAGCTCTGTTCCACTCCTGCCTTGGCTGCAGGAGGAGGGGGGCCCATCGGGGGTGGCCAGGCTGAGGAGGGACCTTGGGAGGACAGCAGTGTGCAGTCAGCTGAGCCCCCGAGACCGCATTCAGCCCTTGCGCACCCCTGCCCATGGCTCCAGGTCTCTCCTAGACCCTCCACCGGAGGACAGGGACGGGACCCGGCACAGAGCCGGGGTCCTGCCCGCAGGGCCTCTGGGTATGGTCTTGCCCTCAGCCATTCTAAGTGGCCGCCCTGGAGTACAGGATGGTCAGTGCTGATCTGGGAATCTGTTTAGTCTGAATAAGGCTTCCTTGGTGGCTCAGTTGGTAGAGAATCTGCCTGCGATGCAGGAGACCCTGGTTCGATTCCTGGGTCAGGAAGTTCCCCTGGAGAAGGGATCAGCTCCCCACTCCAGTATTTTTGGGTTTCCCTGGTGGCTCAGATGGTTAAAAAAATCCACCTGCAATAGGGGAGACCTGGGTTCGATCCCTGGGTCGGGAAGATCCCCTGGAGGAGGGCATGGCAACCCACTCCAGTATTCTTCCCTGGAGAATCCCACGGACAGAGGAGCTGGCGGGCTACAGTCCATGGATCACAAAGGGTTGGACATGAATGAGTGACTTTCACTTAGTCTGGAATGTTTTGGACATTCCAGGGGCCCCACAGGAGGCTCCAGAAGGAAGCTTTGGGCTGAGACCAAAATTCATCCATCCATTCATTCACTCATTCCTTTGTTCGCTCACAGGCGGGTGTGGAGGTAGAGGTCGAGCTGGGAGCTGCATCCTCTTGGCCAGTGAGAGCGGCGACATTTTCAGGGCTTTTGTGAGCCATCTGTGAAGCATCTTTGTCATCGAATGTTGTCGAATGGAATCACGTCCCAATCCCTGCCATGGTGTGGGAAGCTGATAACTGCAGGCCTTAGTGCTGCTGTGGATAGAGGCTTGGGCAGAGCGGAGGGCGAGAGGTCGTGGGACCGTGGCTCACACGGCGGACCTCACGACCACGAGTCTAGTGGGGAGAGCTGGGTGTGGGATGTGGCCTCGTCGGTGGATCTGTGGCCACGGGATCAGCCCTGGAAACTCGAGGAGTGGGGAGTCGTCAGGTCAGGTGGGACTCGGAGGGTGGAGTGGGGTGTCCTTTCCCGTTGACCTTAACTTGCACGGACACGTCCTCACGGCGGTGAGACTGCTGATAAGCCGTGTGCCTGTGCTGGGCGAGCCGTTTGCTTGGCGAGCCAGCACTTCGCCGTTTGTCAGCACGGACGGGCAGGGGCGGTGGGGGGGAGCTGCTTCCCAGGGCGCTTGTGTGCGTGCTCAGCCCGCCAGTGGTGTCCGACTCCACTGCCCTCTGGGCCCGCCGGGCTCCTCTGTCCGTGGGAGTCTCCAGGCGAGAATACTGGAGTGGGTTGCCATTCGCTTCTCCAGGGGTTCTTCCCGAGCCCGGGATGGAACCCGCGTCTTGTATGCCTCCTGCTCTATAGGCGGGTTCTCTACCGAGTCACCTGGAAGGTCTTCGGAGGCACCCAGCGCTGCTCGTGGGGAAGGTGGTGGGGATAAATCAGACAGGACTTGCTGGGTGTGGGGGGCGCAGACACAGTTGGGGGCTGACTTTGGTGGGCTTGGGTGGCAGGGGCCCCTGAGACTCACGGCGCTGGGGTTCTGGTCTACGGCCTTGCATTCCCTTTTTGAAACCGAGGTGGCTCATGCCCAAAGCGCCATCCAGTTTCCCTCCAGGCCATTTCCGGCCGTCTCAATCTCCCATCCTTTGTGGTGACAGACAGCAGCTCAGCCCCCAGACTGGCAGTCTAACCTGCCCACCCTCGGCCGCCTTGGCCTGCCCCCGCACTGACAGGCGTCCCGCTGAGCTCGCTGTCAGGAGCAGGACGTCTGGGCTGAGCCTCGCGGCTGTGATGAGACATCAGGGTGCCCGTCAGTCGGGGGGGAGGTGTGGCGGCGCCCTCCAAGGGGCAGCCGTCTGATGGCCCCGGGGGTCTGCCCGGCCCTCTTGCCTGCAGCGGGGGCCCCAGGGGGCAAGCAGACGGTGCGGAGTCTCTGCCTCCAGCAGACCCCAGGAGCTCACGGCACCAGCTGAGACCTGAGCCGCAGGAGGGGCGGCAAGTAGACCGGGAGGCAGGGCTGGGCCAGGAGCCACGCCGTCCACTGATGTGGCAGGGCCTGGGGAGCTGGCTCTGAACTCTGCCCCAGCTTCGCCCTCCACCACTGGGGGGAAATCGAAGGCTCAGAGCCTTTGATGGGGCTCTTCTGTCTTCCCAATGTGGTGAGGCGGGTGGAGTTGCTGCTCCAGTGGCCCACTTCCACCTGGCCACTCATCCGCTCATTTGATACACATCTGCTGAGCACCAGGACTCTGCAGACCGCGCTCCCCATACACCCACCTGCCCAGCCACCCAGGCATTCTCTCTTCCCCTCATTCTGTCCACCACTCACGGACACTCTGACCTCTCTGTTCCTTGTCCTCCAGCTCCTTGGCACTCAGCGGTGTGTCCAGCTCCCTACTCTTTTCCATATCCTCGCCTATCTACTCAGCCACCCACATATCCACCCATCACCCCTCCATCCATCCACAGTCCACTGATCTGTCTATCATGCATATACCCATCTACCCACCCACCCATCCATCATCCATCCATCCACCCATTATCCATCCATCCATGCACTCATTATCCATCTATCCATCTACTCATTATCCATCTATCATCCATCCATCATCCATCCATCTATCCATCCATCATCCACCCACCCATCCATCATCCATCCATCATCCATACATCCACCCATCCATCCATCTCTCATCCATCCATTCATTCCTTCTTCCGTCCACCTGTCCACCCATCCACCCTCCCAAGCACCCACCCATTCACTTATCCAACAGAATCAGGGCTTCTTGGTGCTGGCCTCAGCGCTGGGAGGCGGGCACAGGTAGGAGCTAGACACCACCCCTGTCCTTTGAGACCCCTCGGCCTGCAGGAGAAGCCCCTGTGGGAGGTGTGTCTGCGGGGTCTGTGCAGTTCTGTCGGTGTTCAGGTGACGTGGGTCCTGAGGGTGCTGGGGCTGAGCTCTGGCCAACCCGCCTGCAGGGGAGGGTCCCCTGAGGGGAGGTGGGTGGGCAAGGGTCCCCTAGGCACTGAATCTGTGGGTCATGGCCCGCTTCCCACCTCCCTGCCACCCAGCCCAGGGTCAGAGGGTCAGAGAGGGTCCTTAAAAAGTGGAAGTCAGGCCAGAGAGGGGAGGGCCATGATTAAGGTCACACAGTGAGCCCAGGCCTTGGTACCACCCTCTGCCCATAAAGGCAAATAGCTGGATGCCACTTTCCATTCAGAGCAGATGTCCCTGGTCCCCACAGGGGCCCAAGGCGGTGACTGTGCCCTGGGCTCTCTGCTCGGCCTCCAGGACCTGCTCCGGGGTCTTTCTCACCCTGACCCTGCTGTCCAGACCTGCCTCTAGAAGTGTCCGGATGGCCTGCAGAGGTGGCGCTATGCCTCAGGCAAGTCCCATGAGCTCACGAGGTTCTGTTTTCTCATCTATAAACTGGGGACAGAGACCCAGGAACTCAGGGCACCGAGTCCTTCTTGGGACTGACCGCATGGGTGTCTATGGGGGTGGGGGGGCCCAGAAGGGCCCCTGGGGCTTCAGGGGGCTCGAGAGCCAGGATGCAGGAAGCCTGGGGGCTGTGTGGCGCAGGGAGCCCCTCCTGGGGGCTCGGAACCCTCTGCTGCCCCCGACCCTGCGGGACTGGAGCCTGAAGTTCCCTGCGGGGGCTGTGGGCAGCGGATGTGCGCACACAGGCGCCTGTGGACGTGGACGGGGCAGGTTATCTGGACTGAAGACGTCTGATCAGGAGCCTCCTTCCGGTCGGGGAGGAGCAGCGTCAGGAGTGGTCATTTGTGCCGACCCAAGGACCCCCGTTTCCGCTCTCCTGGCGAGGGTGCCGAGGTTCCCAGCGGGAGATGTGCCCAGGGTCCCACAGCTGGCAGCTGGCCGCGGCCATTCTGAACACCAGGGCTGGAGGGCGTTGTGATGACCGAGGCGGGGCCCCAGCCGCTGGCGTTGTGATGACCGAGGTGGGGCACTGGGGAAAAGGAGGCGAGACTTCGTGCCATCTGTCTGTTCCGGTGATTTGCTGTGAAGCTGGTGAGGAGCTGCGTCCTGAATCATGTCGGGGGTGTTACACTCGTGTCGCGGACAGACTTGTTCCTAAATTATCTTTTATGATCACCCGCGCGTCCACGGGCGGCAGGTGTCGGCGCCCGCACCCCACTGTTATTTGTGGCGGCGGACCAGGTGTTAATTATTGACGCGCCTGCCCACCTCCTCGCCACCTCCAGTTAAAATTCATGGTCCGGCCACTCGGCAAATATTGATTCTGACCCAAGTTGATGTTTTCCCCTTAACATTATTATAATGAGGGATAAAAATCAAATTGCCTTCCCTGAAACTCAATCATTCTTCTCTACCGTGCCTCATCGATCTTCCTTTCCCCGGGTTTTACCATAAATTATTCTATTCAATTAAGTAAACTCACACATAATGGCATTTTGCAAACTGAATAATTTATTGACTGTGTTTGGCAAAAGGCTGCTTTGGGGTGGGCCAGGGAAGGGAGGGCGTTAGGTCTCCCAGCTCGCGGGGCCCGACTGAGCGGGGTTGGGGTGGGGGCGTCCGGGGGGGCTCCCTGCTCCCCGAGGGGTCTGCGGCTGTGGGGTGGACGGGACCCAGAGTGGCGAGAGTGAGGTCCCTGGGAGGCTCCAAGGAGGAGGGCTGGACCTGGGTGGGTTTCAGGAGGTGAGGGAAGGGAGGGGCCGTTCAGGGGTTGGGGCTGGGGTCCCGGAGGAGGCCGCAGACAGGGGCTGAGCGCCGTCACCTGGCTGTCTTCCGCTGGGACTTGGCCTCAGCCTTGTTCCTCGGTGTGAGACATCTGTGTCCACCTTCCTTGGGTCCCCCCCATCACAGCCAAGCACCCAGCCTGGGCGGCTCAGACGTCAGATGGTTATTCTCTTGCAGTCCTGGAGGCCGGAAGTCTGGAGTCAGGGTGCCAGCAGGCCTGGCTTTTGCAGGCCTCTCTCGCGGCCTGCAGACGGCCATCACCCACCCGCCGTGTCCTCACAAGGCCTCTCCTCTGTGCCCCAAGCCCCTGGTGTCCCCCTGTGTGTCCACTTCTCCCCTTATAACCAGTCACGTTGGCTTGGGGCCCGCCCACAGGGCCTCAGTTTCGCCAAATCACCCCTTTCCAAGGCCCGCCTCCTTCTGCAGTCTCGTTCTGAGGGGCGGGGACTCAGCTAGGACACGCGAGCTCGGGGGGACACCGCTCAGCTCTTCCCATCCTCCTTGTGACCGGCCTTGGTGTCTGGGTCCACCTGGCTTCTTCCAGCCTCCTCAACCGCAGAAGCAGAGGAGATGGAGGGGAGGGTCCCAGCTTGTCCCCAGGGGCCTGGCCGCCCCGAGGGCCCCCCGTCCACTCAGCTGTGTTCCACCCCAGCAGGCCTGTGTCCTGGCCCTCTGCCCTGCCGTCTGAAGGGAAGCAGGACGCGTGATGGGGTCTGCCCACAGCCACGTATGCTCTGCCGGGCAGAGGACATGCAGACGGGCCCTGGGCTTCCTGAGAAGCAGCGTCCATGGCCCCTAACACCCGGCCCCAGACTGTCCCCTCCCCACAGCTCAGCCCTGGACAGCAAGACTGTCCCTGCCCCAGCCCCGAACTGTCCCCTCCCTCAGCCCCAGACTGCCCCCTCGCTGTCCCTGCTGCCTGCCCACCACCCCCCTCACCCTGCACAGACCCCCATACCCTGCTCCCAGGCCCTTGGGGCGCGGCAGCCTCACCCGGGCCGTGCCGTCCACACCCCTACCGCTGGCAGCCCTGCTGATTTAGCTCCAGACCGGGTATCCAGCTGCCCCTTGCACATGTCCCCTGGATGGCCCTCTGTTGCAGCACGTCCCGTCACGGCCCTCAGCCTGCCCTGCCCCTTGCCTGGGCCTGGGGCCAGTGGATGGTCTCTGTTTACCCCTGGTCCAGGGTGGGAAGCTGGGGTCACCAGGTGCCTCCCTTCGTGACGCCCTCCACCCCATGGCTGGGGCCGTGCCAGGGTGGCAGGAGGCAGAGACCCACCTCTCGGTCAGTCCCGGAGGCCACCTGCCCAGGGCCCGGCTCCACTCTGCCCCGGAGCGGTCCCCCAGCCTCAGATTCCTGTCCCCCGGGTGGGGCCAGGCCTCCGCCTCCTTCCCGTCATCCGAGGCCTGTGATGGCGTGGAAGAGCGCTGAGACGCAGAAAGTGCTGGTGGGTGAGGAGCGGGGATGGCCTTGGGGGGCTGGTACCCCTGGGTGGGTGGCGGGTGGGGCTGGCCAGGGGGAGCCAGCCCGGCCTTTCTGGAACCCTCTTCCCTCCCCCCTTTCCCACCCATGGCTGGGCGCGGTCTGAGGGCCCCTGCAGGATGGGCGCTGCCACCCAGGGGCCTCACGCACCCCTGACGTGTCTCCTCCGAGGGCTGGGGAGAGGCTGGGGGAGGGGAGTTAGGAGGATTGAGGATAATTACAGTTAATTGCTCCTGGAACCGGCCCTGCAGAGGCTGCCCAGGAAAGCTGTTAGCACTAATCACAGGGATAATGAGCCGCGGTTGGCAGGGCTCTTTCGCTGCCGTCTTTCCTGGGGGGCTCCCCTCTGCGCCTCCGCACACAGGCGGGCCCCCCTCACCTGCTGGCCCCGGTGCGGACGGCCTGATGAGCAGGCCCTGGGGGATGGGGGCCGAGGGGAGGCTGGGGCTCACCCTACCCCCCAGAGCCCTCGAAAGGAGGCGCACCCTTGGGGGGCCTTGTCGCTGCTGTGGGCTGAGGGAATGATCGAGTGATGGGGTGAGTGAAGCTGGCTTGGACGGGGACGGTCCCTGGAGTCGTGGGGCATGGCTGGGCCCAGGTTTTCCAGTCTCTGCATTTTGCCTGGGGCTGACCTCGAGCGCCCACGAGAACCTTGGACTCTGAATTCATGGTGGGGCTCAGGGCCTGGGACATTCCGGCCTTGGAAGCTGCTGTGGGGGGGAGCACCCCCTGCAGGGCAGGCTGGGGTGGGGGCCTCAGGCTGCCGAGGGGCTGGGGAGCGGGCGGGCTTCCCAGGGTACAGTGGGCGGCACGTGGCATGCCATAAGCCGCTCGGGCTGAGAAATGTGTGTGAAACGCTAATTACATAAACACCCGGCCTCGGGAGCCACACTTCTCCAGATCAGCGGGGCGGGGGCTGGAGTGGAGCCCAGGGGTGGGGTGGGGGGCGGGCTGGGGGCTCCTGGCTGTCTGCACCCCTGACAGATGCCAGTGGCTCAGCCCGCCTTCATTCCTCGACGGAGTCCGCTCTGAGCGGGGACATGCTGGCCACCAGTGACGCTGACCGGAGGGGAGGTGTACAGGGGGCTTTGGGGGTGTGCGGGGCATGGGTGTGGCCCGGCCTAGCGGCCTGGCACGTGGGGATCACGGAGGTGTCCCCTGCTGTCGTCTCATGGGTCTCCAGCCTCAGTGCCACGTGGGCAGTCTCTGACCTCCGGCTTCAGTGTGCGGGCCTGGGGCAGGGGGTACGGCCTGCCGTGGCCTCACCTTTGCCGGTGCCCGTGGAGTTACCTGGGACAGACCAGGGTCACCCATGGAGTTATACCTGGGACAGACTGGGGTCACCTGTGGAGTTACACTTGGGACAGGCTGGTGTCACCCGTGGAGTTACACCAGGACGGGCCGGGGTCACCCGTGGGGACGGGCCGGGGTCACCCGTGGAGTTACACCGGGACGGGCCGGGGTCACCCGTGGAGTTACACCAGGACGGGCCGGGGTCACCCGTGGAGTTACACCAGGACGGGCCGGGGTCACCCATGGAGTTACACCTGGGACAGGCCAGGACAGACTGGGGTCACCTGTGGAGTTACACCGGGACGGGCCAGGGTCACCCATGGAGTTACACTTGGGACAGGCCAGGACAGACTGGGGTCACCCGTGGAGTTACACCGGGAAAGGCCGGGGTTACCCATGGAGTTACACCTGGGACAGGCCAGGACAGACTGGGGTCACCCGTGGAGTTACACCGGGACGGGCCAGGGTCACCCGTGGAGTTACACTTGGGACAGGCCGGGGTCACCCGTGGAGTTACACCCGGGACAGGCCAGGACAGACTGGGGTCACCCGTGGAGTTACACCGGGACAGCCGGGGTCACCCGTGGAGTTACACCTGGGACAGGCCAGAACAGACTGGGGTCACCCGTGGAGTTACACCGGGACAGCCGGGGTCACCCGTGGAGTTACACCTGGGACAGGCCAGAACAGACTGGGGTCACCCGTGGAGTTACACCGGGACAGCCGGGGTCACCTGTGGAGTTACCCCCGGGACGGGCCGGGGTCACCCGTGGAGTTACCCGGGACAGACCCAGGCCCGCCCTCTGCCTGGACGGCAGCTGTAGGGAACTGTTGTCCTGTCTCTGTTCTGGGTTTTTGAAATCTGATTTGTGTGCTTATTTCTGGCTGTGCTGAGCCATTGCCGTGGGGCTTTCCTCTGGCCGGGGCGAGGGTGGTTCTCATCGTGGTGGATTCCCCTGCGGGCTCTTCAGTAGTTGCAGCTCACGGGCTCACTGGCTCTTGCACGTGGGATCTTCCTAGACCAGGGATCCAACCCGTGTCTCCCACGTTGGCAGGCAGATTCTTTACCACGGAGCCGCCAGGGAAGCCCCGCGTCCTGTCTTTGTTAAAGGTGCCTCTGGCAAGTGCAGTCTCGGAGCTGTTCACTGCAGAACAGTGATGGAAGGGGGCAGGAGCACGATGCCAGGAGAGGGACTCTGCCCCAAACTCTGCTCCCCAGGGGCGCAAAGACCACGGGGAAGGGGGGATGCTGGGCAAGCATCCTGGGATGCAAGGTTTCTCCTGGGACCGCATGGCTGTCTCTTCTGTGTGCTTGGATTTCCTACCATGACCTTGAGCTGTTTTTTAAAAATAACGTCTGTTTATTTTTGGCTGCATCAGGTCTGGGCCGCAGCCTGTGGCATCTTAGGCATCACTTGTGGGTTCTGGAGTGGTGGTGAAGGCTGACTTGCCCCGCAGCACGTTGGATCTTGTTAATACTTCCCCGACCAGGGATGGAACCTGCTTCCCCGCATTGAAAGGTGGGTTCTCAACCACTGCACCACCAGGGCTGTCCCCAGCTTGAGCTGTTTTGAAACAGATGAAACAAATGAAAAGAAATTTAAGGGATTATACCTGAACAGTTGATTTTAAAAAGATTTCTTTTCTCACGCCTAGTAACACCTCACTTCTCCCGGGCAGGCCTGGGCAGAGGCAGCCTGACCAACTCAGCTCCCAGGCCAATCCTCAGACCCACAGTTTCACCCAAGGGGTGATGGGCTTGGTGACATGTTGGGGACAGCTGACGGGAGCTTGCAGTGGCCGGCACATCTGCTCATCAGCGGAGTGGGGGTGGGGGGAGGCAGACTGGGCCCCCAGTCCCTGGGTATCTGAGCTCCTAGAACATTCAAGGTCGCTGCAAGGACAGGACACAAAGAGTGGCTGGGTTTAAGCTGAGCGGTGGGCACAGTCACGAAGAGTCCTCATTTCCAACCAAGAGACTTGGAGTCCTGCAGTGAGGCCCCGGAACCCAATGGAAATTCGCCCTTGGGGAGCGTCTGGGCAAGGTTGCCAGAGGGAGCGGGGTTGGGGGGTGGGGGGGCGTGCTCTGCCTCCCGGCTCCTTCCTCCTTAACTCACTCATTCCGGGAACCACAGCACTCCGGGTTGGGGTTCAGCAGGGCCTGCCTCGTCCTGTGGGTGAAAGCGTCCTGTCTCCCTGAGAAGGAAGGTGGCCTGGGGTGGGGGGCACGCTCCAGCCTGCCCACCCCCTGCTTCCCTCTGAGTATCTGCTGAGGGGAGACGAGTACTTTGAGGAAGGCTTTATTTCAGGTATAAAAAGACCCCTTGGGCTTGGAAGCTTCCTGACCGCCCCAGGCAGCCCAGAGAGGGGCTCGCCCGGCCCTGCCCCTCTGGCTGTGGGCAGGGGGAGGGCGTTCTGCGGAGTGGCCACTTGCTCCCAGGCGGTGGCCCTGGGCCACATATCTGAGCAGACCCAGATGCCCACAGGCTGTGGGTGTGTCGGGGGCAGACAGACAGACGGCCGTCTGTCTGGTCTGCACTGTCAGGATGAGCTCCCCAAAGCACGGCTCTGATTGTGGCCCTGCCCCGCTCACACACCATCCGTGGCTCCCTAGTGCCTTGGCCGCCTGGCCCGGTTTCCCATTATTCGTCCTCCTCCTTTCCCGGCCTGGAGTTTGCTTGGCTGCTGCGTAGAACAGAGGACCACGGCCTGGGTGGTCCCGAAACAGCAGACATTGCTCCCGAAGAGCAGCCTGAGCTCTTCTGGGCTGTGAGCGTTAGAACTTGAGCACGCAGATCTGGGCCCACGTTCCAGCCCACGACGCTTGGTCTGGCCAGATCGGGGCAAGTAGCCCCGGAGGCACGTGATGCATCCGCCCCTTCTTGTGCTCTAGCCTGCATGCCCCCTGGAGGCAGACGGCCCTGGGCAGCAGGCCTGTGGGGCGGGGTCTGGGGTTGGGCTGAGGGTGGGCAGGGGCCGTGGCTTCCTATGCAGCCACACGGAGACTCCGGAATTCCCTCTCTCTTTGGGGAGGGGGGGGTAAGGGATGAGCGGGCTGGGCAGCATCTGTCAAATGTGATCGGCGTGGGCTGCCACGGCGACGGGCAGAGGGCTGGGCGGGCCGGCGGCCCCCACGTCAGAAGCCCCTGTGGATGTGCGGCTGGCCTGCAGGTCCGCGTGCCCAGCTGCGTCGTTCCTGGGCCTGGGGCTTGGAGGATGGTCCCCAGAGGAGCCCAGGGTGGACTTCCAGGGCGAGGATTAAGTTGTTCACGGTAATCAAGCCCCAGCGAAGCCGTTAAGTGAATTTTGCTGGCGGATCCGTCCTCTGATGGTCTTCCTCTCTCTGTGCCCGCTTTGTTCTCCTGGTGGGGGCAGGTGTCCTGGGGGTGCAACCTGGCAGGTGATTTAGGGGAGCCTCCTGGCCAGAAAGACCATTAAGGAAAAATGGGTCTTGGACCATCTTTTGGTTTTTCCATTAAATCCTGTTCGTTTCCATTTCACAGAATGGTTTTCTAATCCTATTTGCGACACGCCTGTCAGCCACAGATAAAAACGGGACATTTGCATTGGGGAGGCGGGGACGGGGGGCAGCCCGCTCCCCTAAAGATAATATTAGGTTCCTTAACGCGCTTGCGCTCCTGGGGTTTATGGTTTTTATGTGGAGGTTTAAATATTCAAAACCAGGTAGGGCTTTTCCCCTTCTGCTAACTAT